GAGGGTGGTGGTGATCCCTCTTGCTGGCGAAGCGAGGCCCTTCGCGTGCGCGCGGCTGTTCAGCACTGCGTGGACGCCACCGCCACGTACGACACCGTCCATCAGCGGCATGATTACTACGGTCCCTCCGTGAACTGCTGTGCCCGTATTCAGGCCGTTGGCTGCGGCGGCCAGATCTTGATGTCGAAGGAGTCGCTCGATGCCCTCACAGCAATGCCAGCGTTCCACGACGAGCCATGCCCCCTTGATCTGCGGAACGTGGAAATCGGCTCCAACGAGGACGAGCAAGGCCTTGATCAGTTTATTGCCATGCAGGACATTGGGGCTGTCCGGCTGAAGGACATTCCTGACTCTGTGCACCTCATAAGCATCACGCCTAAATGCCTGGAGGGTAGGACGTTTGTAATGAAGGCCAAAAGTGCTGGGCTGGACGACAACTGAGAGGGTTGGCTTTCCTTTGGTTTTGTCGTCCTGCTATTGTTTTTTCAGTATATAGTTTAGACATATTCTCTTGTGTTGTATTCCCCCCGTCAACTTCGTATCAAGATGGAGTAGACTTCACGTCCTATGTAATGTCATATTGTCGTTAACGGTGATAAACTGTTAGTGACCACCTGCTATCGAATCATTGTGTATATTTGTTTAACTCTTCTTTCGTGTGATTTTCCACTTCTCCGCGTGACCAGCGTGAATGAAACAGCCCTACAAAACCACGTGGCGGGTGTACCTTCCGGGGGCTTTTGTTCTCGCGATTTACAGTTTCGCCATTTACTTTAACCGAACCCGCGGGGACGTTGTGAAATACGGCCATGACTTTGTGCCTATCTATTCTGAAGACGGAAAGCTGGAGGGGTTCACACACCCCGTGCTTGTGAAGGCGGGCGACAAGTACCGGAGCACCGAGGAGTCAAAGATGAAATCTGCGTGAGAGCTGCTGGGCTGTTTATATTGATAATTTGCTAAAACGCAACGGCTTTTCTCACCTGTTGGACCCTAATTCGTGGTGTAACGTTGATTTTATTGTTGCCGTTTTTATAGTCTTTCTTTTCGTATTTGTCAACACTTTGGCTCACAAAGCTACACAACTAAAATTCAAGCAAAATACTCCCACAGCATAATCCCCTTTACGCATGTCGATTCTGACTTACAGTGGCGGGTCTTGTCTGGCCATGGCGGGCAAGGAGTGCTTNAAGATGAAATCTGCGTGAGAGCTGCTGGGCTGTTTATATTGATAATTTGCTAAAACGCAACGGCTTTTCTCACCTGTTGGACCCTAATTTGGATTGTGATTTGAATCATCTCAGTTTTTGCATATGTACACATCATATCCATGCAACTTCAATTAAATGAATGCTCCCACAGCATAATCCCCTTTACGCATGTCGATTCTGACTTACAGTGGCGGGTCTTGTCTGGCCATGGCGGGCAAGGAGTGCTTTGTCATCATTTCCGATAACCGCCTCGGTGAGCAGCTGAAGACCATCTCAATGGAGGTGCCGAAACTCCACGTGATCAACGACGGAATCGTATTGGGTCTCACTGGGCTCCGCACAGACCAGCAGACCTTCGCGCAGACGGTCCACTTCCGCACGGAAATGTACAAACTTCGCGAGGAGCGGGATATTGGTGGCAAGGCGTTCGCGGCGCTAGTGGCATCGATGCTGTACGAGGCGCGTTTCGGCCCATGGTTTGTGGAGCCGGTGATAGGAAGCATCGACAGGAAAACGGGCGAAGTGTATCTCTGCGCTATGGACCTCATCGGCGCCCCCTGCGAGCCCGAGGACTACGTGTGTGCCGGGACATGCGCGGAGAGCCTGCACGGCATGTGCGAGGCGTTGTGGCGCCCCGACCTGGGGCCGGAGGAGCTGTTCGAGGTCGCCGCGCAGGCGATGCTTTCCGCATGCGACAGGGACTCTCTCTCCGGCTACGGCGGGGTTGCTGCGATTGTGACGCGGGACAAAGTAATAACGCGCCTCATAAAAGGGCGCAAGGACTAGACAGAGTGGGCAACGTGGAGTGTCGGGCACCCTCTGCTCTTGTCTCTCCAAATATATATGTGCTAGGATTGTCTTCATGTTGAACGCGGCAGAGGGACTCAGTCGACTGTTTTTGTTTCCGCTGCTCCTTGGTCTTGCGGCACCCAGGGGGGCGCGCATGCGCACTTACACGCGCACCCACGTGGATTCCACTTCATCTCCCCCGCTCTCTCTCTCTCTCTCTCCGGTATTTCCCCTCTTTTCGTGTTGCACTGCTTTCTCCAGAAGGGCAACATGCAGGCTGCGCTGACGCACCTAGACGATGCGCCCATGCTCTTCTGTGAGCGGTGCAACAACCTCCTCTACCCGGAAAGCGACCCCATCGACAGGCAAATGAGATGGCGGTGCAACTATTGCAAGGCAACTGAGGTGCATGACGACAACAAGCTCGTGTACATCCTGAACCTCAAGATGAAGACGGGCACAGTGGAAGAGTTGGAGCTGTTGGCTGAATTTGCGAATGACCCGACAGCGCAGCGCGACCCCACGAAGAAGTGCCGTCAGTGCGGTGAGCATGACGTGACGTGCTTCGTGAATCCACTCGGGCAGCCTCACGAGGACATGACTCTCTACTTTGCCTGCGCGAACCCCAAGTGCCGTCACGTCTGGAAGAGTGGCGACAACCAGGAGCAGTAAGAGGAGTTGTCGGCTCTATGTTGCAAAGTCTATGCCGCTGTGTGCGCCTCTTGCTCTTGTCTTCATTGCCTTTGTCTCTGACTGCAGTCCCTCTCTGTTGTTTACCACGTTGCGTCTCCGATAGGGTGTAGGGGCGGGGCACCAGCGTAGCCATGTATGTACTCGGAGTCTCCACTCCCCTGATGTGCCTCATATGGCACCTCATATGCTGCGTCCTCACCATTGTAGCCTACGTGGTTTGGTCCCACACGCGGCCGCAGCGGGTTGAGGGGGGATCGTGGCGTGGCGCCCACCTGGCCTTCAGCGTTATCGGTATGGTCGCGTACGCGGTGGGTGGCGCACCGCTTTTTGTGTATGCTTACAAGTACGGGCTGTCCTACAACCAGCGTCAGACGAGACTGCTGTGCGGCATGGCAGTGGTGTTTCTCACGTGGTCTTTTCCTATATTTGTTATTGAAATGGGGATGCTGCGCCGCGAGCACGATTACAAAACCCCGCTTGATGGCATCGTCTTTGTTCTGAGCATCATATCGGCCATTATTGGTGGGTGCGTCGTGTGGTTCAGCTACATGCGTCTCGTCACGCATTACATGCACCAATATCATGGCATGGAACGGCAGATTGATCCGCAGTCCAATATGGCGGCGTACCCTATGCAGCCGGTGCGTGCGTCATCACGCGCCGAGCGACCGGATACTATTTAGACTCTCTGTGCCAAGAAGTGGCAAAAAGGTTAGTGGTGGGTGCTGACCTTATCTGCATCGCCACATCTTGTACCCCCGCTGCTTGCGGTTTGCTGACTTTGAAAAACCCCTTCCCCTTGGCTTGTGTCGTCTGCGTTTGTTGGTTTTTTCATCTGCTTAATAACTCGCCTACTCTCTCACAGTTACTCTCTCACCGATACTTTAGGAAAGGCGTACGCTTGCAGACCGCGCAATGCACTCTCGGTCGTTGCAAAACTGTGACGCGAATGATTTGTTGGGCGGCAGTGCCGACACCTCTTATCTAAAGCGAACAGATGATGCACGAGCCGGGTATGCACAGGTCCGCGTGTTGAGCTACAACTTCAACATACTTCCCAGAGGCTGTGGCGGATTCCAAGGGGAGCGCATCAGCGCTTTCCTGGAGTACGTCGATCAATACGATGTTCTGATGCTTCAGGAGGTCTACGCTGTGAGTGTACTGCCGTACTTTGTGCAGAAGCGTGTATGCTTCCAGAAGCGTCTGCTGGATAAGCTTAACGAACGTGGCTTTTCACACTACGTCATCTCGAGGCAGCCGTCGTACCCTACGATCATGCGCGACAATGTGCTTTCCGATAATGGCCTTATCATTGCATCACGGTTCCCCATTGGGCAGTGCGGGTCGTACACGTTCTGCAGCAGTGGACAAAACGAACGGTCTGTTCGGAGGGGTTGCCTCTTTGCCGAGGTGACGGTGCCGTTGAGTGATGGCGGGAACGAGCCGGTTGTATTCTTTAATGTGCACCTTCGCCCTGATGAAGGTCCCATCGCAGCCTCCTCGCAGGTGATGAAGATGGGCCAATACGTTGAATCTGTGATTCGTCACCTCTATGCAGACGAAGACGAGGCGCTGAAAGCTCCATTTGTGGTGGCTGGTGACTTCAACGTCAATGGCATTGACATCCACAATGCTGGGCAGCCCACAAAGAGACTGAGCGACCTTATGCAGGAGCTGCAGCGGCTGGGCGGTGGGCTCAGCGAGGCGATTTTCGACACTCATGGCTGCCACCCCCCGACACGGCCGTCGAAGCTATTCTTCCCGGCGCAGTCGAAGCTGCACCGTAACTTCCTCACGCCGCAGAGACAGGACTACCTTTTCGTCAGCCCGTCGGTTGAGGTTCACGTAGCACGGATTCGTAAATTTGTGGCGAGCAGCCAGCGGCCGTATATGTATCTCTCCGACCACTTTGGTGTGTCCGCAACACTCTGTGTCGCTGCGACCGGGCGGCACGCGCACCGAGAGACGCTGAGGCGTCGCGTCCTGAGTGTGTCACTCGCCGGAGAGGCTGTCCACGAGCGCTCCAATCCGCTTTCGAGCATGAAGATGGAGGTCATCCCCTTGTTAATGCTGGCATGGGCCGCCTTGCACTTGAGTCGGTTAACCCTCCTCTGTCTGGGGTTTGTGTGGCTTCTAGTGTGGTGGTTTAGCTCTCGCATCCGCGTTCTGAGCAACGAGAAAAAATTTGCGATGGTAACAAGCGTTGTGGTAGAGGGCAAGGAGGCAGTCACACTGAAGCAGCCAAAGGAGTACAGCATCCTGCGTGGTGTGGGTAGTCTCGCGGAGATGTGGCAGCGGACGGTGTATAACCACAAGGCGTTGCGTTGCCTCGGCCGGAAAAGTGATGTTGGCGAGCCGGAGTGGTCAACGTACGCAGCGGTGGACGCACGTGTGCGGGAGCTTGGAGCTGGTCTTTGCGCGTTGGGTATTGCTCCTGGTGATGTTATTGGTGTGGACTGTCAGGCAAGCAGTAAGGCAGTCATCCTCGAGCTTGCGTGTGCAGTGTACGGTTTTTCAACGCTTACGCTTGTTGGGAATAGCACTACTGTCCGGGCACTTATTGATGAATATAACGTGAAGGTTGCCTTTGCCAGTCGAAGCGCCGTGGCGTCGCTTCTTACGTGCCGCTCACGAAGGCTGGAGACGGTGGTTTTCATTAACCCCTTCTCCGACGCTGTAGACGACGCGGTTGCGCGTGATGTCGGCATTACGTTGGTCTCTTACGATGATGTGGCACACAAAGGACGGTCGTACGCTGCTCCCCCGCCTTTGCACGTTGATAGCAATTCCGTGTTTTCTCTGGTTGTGGACACAGCCACCACGGGTGATTGCCCGAAGACGGTCCGCATCACGCATGGTGATGTGCTTCGTAGCATTCAAACACTTGTTGCCACCTCCGTTCTTCCCACCTCGCAGGAGAAACATCTGCTGGTGCAGTTTATGCCGTTCTCAGTGGTGTTTAACCGCATTTTCGTCTTTGGACTTTTTGCGCACGGGAGCTCTGTGGCGACGTCAGATGCGTTCACGCAGCAAACCTTCGCGGTATTTCGGCCGACGATCATGCTGGCCCCACCCACTCTTTTCGCAACAAGCGCGATACAGCTGGACCGCAGGAATGAGCGGTATGGGCGTGTATACAAGTGGGTGTTCGAGTGGGTGTATCAGCTCCGCTCCGTCCTCATTAATGTGCACTGCCGTGACCTGTCGGTCCTGCGTTTTCTTTTTTTTCACTCCACCCGGCGACAGCTTGGGGGAAGAGTGGAAAAAATTGTGCTTTACGCATCGGAAGAGAGTACGCCGTATGAACTGGAGGAGCACATCAGAGTCTGCTACGCGCCTTGCCTGCGGGAAGTGTTCTTCCTGCCGTCTGAGGGTGTCTTCTGTGTCGATGGTATTCCGGCACCCGGCCTGCGGGTCGAGCTTGACCCGTTCGACGAGACTGCGAGGAAGGCGAAGATTGGTCAACTTGCCGTTATCTGGGAGGCTGAGGAGAAGCACTCGCTGCCAATTGCGGCGAAGTGGAATGATGACCGGACACTGCGACTTATGGGTCCGCCAGAGGGAGTTCTGTTGCCGGTCAAGTGCGAGTATGTTGTGGCGGCGGAACTTGAACGCATGTTTGCCCAATCGCGCTATGTGAACGATATATTCCTACACGCGCAGCCGTCGAAGCCTATCATAGCTGTGGTGGCACCCAACCGTGATACCGTTGAATTTGAATGGATGCAGCGCTCCGGCCGCGATGAAAGCGAGAAGCTTAGCTGGACAAAGCTTGCCGGTTTTGCAGGAGATCTCATTCTTGCGGATTTCCGACATATTGCCAAGGCGCATTCTCTCCATGAATCGCACGTCCCAGGGCACGTGCACCTTCACCCGCACGCGTTTTTGGACCACGAGAGCTTTTTGACACCATATGGGGAAATCAGGCGCAAGTGCGTGGCCCTTTACTTTAAATCTGTTATTGATAATTTTAACTTGGATGTTGCATCCCAATCCAGTCCGACGCAGGTGTGTAGCATCTCCAGCGAAGAAGATTCAACACCGAAGGAGAGCGTCGAAAAACCTGTCCCCCTGCGGGTTCCTCTAGCTATCGACATTGGTGGTACATTTGCCAAGTTGATCTATGTGCAACCACCTGGTGTCTTTGACGTACCAGACTACTTGGTGCACGAAGCCTCTTCACTTTCAGAAACGCTTGCAGTACGAACATTTCGATTTTTTGACGATGTGCGGGGGGCGGAGGAGCAACTGAGGGATTCTCCTAATTCAGTGGTGGGAACAGTGCGCTTCGCGAAGGTTCCATCAAAGCGCATTCCCGATTTCGTGGAGTACCTGGGCGAAATTAAGGCGCTCAACTTTTATGGTCAAGCATACCGCGAAAGCATCCGGGCAACCGGGGGCGGTGCATTCAAGTACGCCAGTCTCGCGAAGAAACTGGAGACCACTTTTGAGGTGGTGCGGGAAATGGATGCAGTGGTGCAGGGCCTCGCACTCGTTATCCGGGCAGCACCGGAGTCCATCTTTACCGTCGACCCGCCAACAGGGAGACGCTACCCGCACAAGTTGCGCACCCCCCCTGGTGAGCCGCTGTCGCCGTTCCCGTGTCTGCTTGTCAACATTGGCTCTGGTATCTCCATCATCAAGTGTATCGGCCCTGACGGCTCGCACGTGCGTGTGGGTGGGAGTCCCATTGGTGGGGCAACGTTCTGGGGTCTCGTGCGCACCATGACGGATGTGACGTCGTGGGAAGAGGTGATGGAAATAATGAGACTTGACGGCCCTGGTGACAACAAAAATGTTGACCTTCTCGTTGGTGATATATATGGCTTTAACGCGAAGGATCTCCCGGCGATGCTTTCCGTTGACACTGTCGCCAGCACGTTTGGCAAGTTTGGAACGGAACGCTTCTGCAACATGGCGACGGGCATGAAGAGGGCACACAGCATCTCAAGCGATGAGGGGGGTGACGCGCTTTCCCCAACCTCCCCATTAAATGCTTTGTCACCAACGCAGCCTGTGAAACGCAAGAATAAGCCATCAGCAATTGATATTGTGCGGTCATTGTTGAACATGATATCCAGCAATGTCACACAGCTGGCTTACCTTCACAGTCAAATGCAGAATGTTCCAAACATATTTTTCGCTGGTGGGTTTGTGCGCAATAATCCAATTGTATGGAGCCACATTTCGTCGACGCTTCAATATTGGTCAAAGGGGGAATGCTACGCACACTTTCTAAAACACGACGGTTACCTGGGAGCACTTGGCTCAGCGACGATGGTGGGAGAAAAGGAGACCGTATAGCCGTCAAAAAAAAAAACGAACAGGTCTTGTAAAAGACCTTTACTTTCGAATGTATTAGCCTATAGTTGGCAATACAAATTGAAGTTATAGGGGTTCTTGGTTTCCTTTCCCTTCTCGGTTCATCTTTATTTGGGAATAAAACACTGCTTCTGACGCGGAGCTCAGCGAAAAGTGTGTGTGGCCTGGTCGTTCGAAATGTTTCTTGTGGTTTATTCCTCTTTTTACACTCATCACATTGCAACCCTTGTACGCGCATGCATACCGCACGACGGTTATGTATTGCCACTTCAGCGATCGTTGTCAAAGCAGCAGCAGCTTGATATATAGAGACTCCTATCATATACTGCCTTAGTTGCGTGGAATTTACTTTTCCTCCCCCTTTTTTGTTCATTCATTTTGCCTCGCCAAGGGTGGGGGTATTTTTGTTGTTCTTGTTGTTGCTGCGTGAGGGTTGCATCCATCTGGCTTTGTCGCATTTGATGGAGCGACCGGCGCCCGACCCAATTCTTCTGCGTGGCCCACGGCGGCCAAACAACGGGTCTGCGCCTGTACCCACACATCGTGCGTACACTGACGTGCTAGAGGAGAATCACACACTGAAGGAGGAGCTTCACCTCGCGCAGGAGCGCATCAACACGCTCGAGGACACATTGTCAGAGCTGCTGCTGAAGGGGGCGCTACCACGCTACGCGTTGTTTCTGCCGCCGTACTTTATCGAGCAACACAGGGACATACTCGCGGCGATTGACGTGTACGGGGATCAGTACCGCGAGGCGGTCAAGCGTGGTCTCCTGCATACACAGTAGATGCGGTGGTGTCGATCCCCATATTATTTCTCCTTCCCCACCCCCATCATCTCCATGCGGTGGCAAGGCATATATATATATATATATATATATATATATATTTGTGTGTGTGTGTGCGTCTTGTATATGACACTGATGAAAACTGACAGCGTCTTGTAAAGCATCGTTTCTTTTTCTGTGATTCGTGTCTGTGTAGGGACGGAAGAGGAACCGGAGAAAAACTGAAAGAAAGGGGAAATAAAATTAGTAAAAGCATTTTGTCTAGGGAGAAACCATCATGGCGGATCTTCACGAGGATGCTGACAGGCAAGTTGAAAGGGCCCCAAAATGGTATGAAGTCCTGAAGGAGGAGGTGCTTGAGCTGCGGTGGCGCGTCCTTGCGGTGGCGTGCTTCCTCACGTTCGGTAGTTACTACATCTTCGACTTCCCCGGCTCGCTGGGCACCGGCGGTGGCCACACCATCGAGCAGCGATTCCGGGCACACGGCAAGGCGTATACACAGGAGATGAATCAGATGCTTTACAGTGTGTACTCGTGGCCGAATACAGTACTGGCCATCTTTGGTGGGCTACTGATCGACAAGTACCTCGGCATCCGCACAGCAATGCTGCTCTTCACCTTCTTGATATTGCTTGGCGCTTTTCTCTTCTGGCTGGGCGTGCACTTTGTCGCTTACCCGCTCATGGTGGCAGCGCGTGTCGTATTCGGTCTGGGTGGCGAGTCTCTCTCCGTGTCGCAGTCGGCGTACGTCGCGCGGTGGTTCAAGAATGGTCGTGGCATGGCGTTGGCGTTTGGCATAACCATCAGTTTCTCACGTGTTGGATCATCCTTCAACTTCCTCTTCTCACCGAAGATTGCACGTTCAAAGGATGTTGACACCGCCGTTCTCGTTGGCATCTTTGCCTGCTGCATCTCCTTCATTGCCTGCATGATTCTGGTTGCTGCTGATATTTACGCTGTACGTATTGGCTACATCAAGCCAGAACCGCGCGAGTCGGAGGAGGCGAGAGTTATGAAGTTGTCAGACGCACTGAAGCTTCCTTTTGCGTTCTGGGCCCTCACAGCTGTCTGTGTNTTCTGTTACACCGCCATATTCCCATTCGTCGGCATTGGTAAAGGTTTCTTTGAGGTGAAGTACGGCTACGATGGTGACAAAGCTGCCAGTTATATCTCTGCGTATCAATTCGCGTCGGCTGCGGGCTCGCCGTTGATTGGGATCATTGTGGATGCTGTTGGACGCAATACGTTGTGGCTCATATTGGCGAGCACCTGTTTTGTCCTGATCCACGTGCTGCTAATCGTCTCGATGATTCCTGGTATCGCGATGATGATCATGATGGGTGGATTCTACAGCTTTCTAGTCGCGGGTCTGTGGCCATCGATTCCGTGGGCTGTCAATGAGAACATTGTGGGCTTCTCGTACGGCGTCATGACCGCTCTGCAGAACGTTGGATTAGCCACGTTCCCTATTATTGTGGGCGACATTCTTGACAGGTACACACCGCATTCCAGCAGCGAGGGATCCGCAGTGGACCTCTCTTCATCTATGAGCAACAGCGGCGAAGATGTCCTGCTCCCCGCGTTGAAAGGGTACGTGATGACGGAGCTGCTGTTTATTGGATCAGCCGGTGTGTCTTTTGTTGCAAGTGTTGTTCTTCTTCTTTCTGATCTGCGTAATGGTGGTATCCTCACTGCGTCAAGTACCCGTCGGAAGCAAATGGAGACGGAGGGGCGCAATGCTCTCTTGGACTATCTTCCAGAGGAGGAAAGAAACCTTCTCTTCAGCGCGGCTTTTGACCAGGAAGACGCGTGGCCCGGCGCCAGTAACGGCAGCGAAAAGAAATCATAATAGTAAGAATATACCATGGCCATTTTTCAATGTTGATCCCATGTGTCTGCAGTGCTATGACAGCGAAGAGGACGTTAACGAGCACTGCGGCCAATGACCCTGCAGCACACAGAGTCTCTTACGAGTGTCTAAGGAAGCGGGGAACGATCTATGCGTGTGTTTTTTTTTGTTTTTGTTTCTTGGGTCTTACGAGAGAGATGCCCCGGGGGGGGGCGTGGCTGCGTTTCTTCATCCGTCCTCTTGCCAATCCCATGGCTATTGGCTCCTCTTGTGTGCAACTCTTTTTGTGGTTTCGTTTTGCTTCACCCGGTTTGTTTCTTCTTTGTTGTCTTGTTAGCGCGTAGCAATGCCTAGTCGCGCGGTTCTTCGCAAAAAGGCACGGCGTGACGCAAAGCGCAGCAAGCGCGAGACTGAGGCCGCGGCGACTTTCGCTGTCGCCACGCCGTCGCCTTCGGACGAACAAAAGCAGCAGCAGCAGCAACTGCTCTCTGAGAGACGGAGGGAAGGGATACGGCCGGCAAAGGCAACATCAAGGAAACGCCCCTTTGCCGCAGTAGAAGAGAATACTGTGGAGACGCCTGAGTCGGCCGAGGGGATGAGCCGAAAGGAGAGGAAACGTTCGGAGGCTAGACGCCGATTGGAGCGCCAGCTCGTCAAACTCAACGCATCCTTGGCAAATGAAACCGATAACACCACAGCAGCCGCTGACGACAACAAAGATAACGGAGGCCAAGACGGTGAAGGGGATGTGGCGCCTTCTCTGCACAACAGGGCACTGCGGCACGACCCAAAGTTCAAGAACGGTACATTTTGGCGCACGCGAAAGGAGCAGCGGGCGCGGACTCTCTTCCTCGGCAACATGCCCGCTAGATTCACTCTGCAGAACGTCATGGACTTTGTCTCCTCGGTGGTCGACGCTGACCCCGTGCTCGGGGATGAGACGGGGGACGACGCGGCAGAAGCGGTGGTGGAGTCGGTCGACTTCCTCCCAACGAAGCCGCGGGCGAAGCACCGCCACATGTTTCTCACACTCCGCTCAAAGGAAGCCGCGGCGCACGTCACCAATCTCCTGGACGCGTACAGGCTGGAGGGCACCGTTCTGCGGTGCAACTTTGCTGCAGACAAGCAGCAGCGCAGTGAAGCCATTCAACGCCGCTCGGGGAAGACCGGTGACGGTTCTTAAGATGAACTCAACGATTAAGCAATCAGAAGGAAACTGAATCACATTTTTTTTCTATCGCAGAGGCGCAAGGCATTATATTTATGATGTTAATGTGCTCTCCTCGGGCCTTCACACCATTTGTACGTGCCTGCTCCTCCATCTTTGTGCTTATTGTTTTTTTTTTTGCCTTTGGCTTTTCATTATTCCGGCACCGTGGCGTCCTCGTGTGACCAAGTGTCGCTCGCGGAGTGGTGCCGTTAGGGCAGCAAGAATGAGGACTTGCTTGGCTCCAGCCGGCGTGCAAACGTTGGAACTGGCCGACCGTCAGCCGGCGGTGCTGAGCGCGCAACGGCTGTGGCCCAGTGTGCATTTCGGGGTGCACATCACATCGCATCCGACTGGATTTCTGCAGCGACAAGATCGTCACTTTTTGAGGCCTGGTATCGCTTGAAGATCTATTTGGGACTCGAGCTTGGTGACAACTGTCTGTGGGACTGGGGAGAACTCCTCGACTTCGCAGTGCGATGCAGTGGAAGCCTCACGGGGTTTTCAATTCGTAGCAGTCCGCTGTGCTCGTCTGGGGTGTCTGTTAAGGATATCTAGCATTTAATCGCCGTGGTGTTTAACTACAGGCGAAACCTGCGCGTTGATGGTGTGCGCTGTGACAGGTGGATGTACCGCATTTTCCCCTCACCCCTCCAGAAGTATGCCGCCACCTTTGCGGAGAGGGGTCAGCTCAGTGTCCCTGAGCCAACGCGGTCGCAACGAAGAAGTTCTCGCATCCGCCCCACGTTGACCCTCTGAACGGTGTTGGTGTCGGTGTCAGTGAACAGCGCTTGTGTCAGCCCGCGGCGCTTGTCGACGGCTTTCTCGCCGACAGGAGAGGGGTCGCGAAGGCTCTGCTTACTCACTCCTCCCCCTAGAAAAGGACGCATCTGCAGCACAATACGACGAGGGGGACCAGTAGCACGCGTCGTGGCGCATCCGTTTCGTTATCGGTGGGTGCTGACGAGGCGGAAAAAGAAGTGTTGCATCGTGTGCAGTCACCACGCATCGCAGTGATACCGATCCTGCAAAGGAGCATCGCTCTTCACATCGTCGATAATACCATCAACAATCATTGTAGCAGCAACAACAGACCACGAGTTGTGTGGTTCCAGAAGAAAAGGGTCTCCTCTGGGCAGCGCAGCGGCTGGCGCCGCGGGTCCCAGTACCTCTTCAGCGGCAATTCCTCGACACGCTGCCACAGCAGCAGTGGGACGCTGACGATGGCGCCTCGCTCATGTCAATTCTGCTTTAGGACATCAGCGAGAAGAACGAGCGACATTGGGGCACTGTATCGGGTGACGAGATGTGGCTGCACGAAACAGCCTTTGAGCTTCTTCGTGTACAGCGTGGAGGATGATCCAAGCACGCTGTGGGCGTCGTCGTAGACTGTCGGTGGTTTCCTCGTGAGGGTGATGCAGCGGAGCTCCGGAAACGCCCGCTCCATCCACATCAACGTCATCGGGCGCTGCGACGAGAAGAGCTCTTTTTCCCCAGTGCTCGACGCACTGCCTATGCTTCTGTGGCGTTTGCTGAGCACCACAACGATGGCAGCGAGTGGGATACGCCCTGCGCCACGTGCAGGCAAGCCGAAATAGGAACGGCTACGGATTGCTGCCTCGCAGAGTCCCCGGTGCTGCTCTTGGGACTAGTGATTTCCCCCACCACGGTTCCCCACTCTACTGCGGCTCATTCCACGGCAGTTGCCGCTGTGCAGTTCGTGGCTCTGTATGAGTCGTGCCGTCAAGGCGTGGCCATTAGTCCTCGGCAGTTTATAAGTTAAAACACGGGCAAACCGGTGCGTCCCTGTGCTTCCTTCTCTGCAGAATGTCGTGGAGCGCCTGCGCCAGCACGGTGGGTGGGGGGCCCTGTGGAAAAGCAGCGAGTAGGCTTCCCGATCATTCGGCTAGAGCCGGAGTCGGTCCTTCGCGTGACGCTCCGGCAAGTTATATTCCCAAAACCTGGAAAAGTGATTGCATCCACTCTGTTGTGTATGCAAATATTGAGCGCATGGGCGAGTTTGGTGAATTGTAAGAAAAGACGGCACTTGTTGTTGTAGCCAACCGCGTTGTATTTATTGCGAGGGACCTCAACACACGCATTCTCATCCGTAGTATCAAGAAGGTGTTTGTGATCTTGGCTGAAGTCCCTCTGTCATTGAGTAATTATGTCGCTGCTAGATTCGACCTGCAGACTGTGCGTGTTGCGGGGTTTGTGCCGCACCTGTGCGATGCAGGCACGACGCCGATGCTTCTCGACGAACTGATGCGTGCTTTTTGGGTGGGCATGCGGCCGCTGCTGCGCACACGTCGAGAAGTTGCCTGACAGCTCCCTCTGCCTGCGGAGTAGCATCATGGCGTACCCGCACCTGCACGCCACGATCGCCTTCATGCGTTCTGAACTGCATTAGCGATTTGGCAGCCGCAACGGAGACAGCGGTGTTTGTGTGGAGCGAAGTGTTTGCTTGAGACCAGGGTGTCGGTGTAAACGGTCGGGATGAAAGCAAGCCACTCTGGAAAGGCAGCAACAGCAGCGAAAAGGTATTTGTGTGGGTGTGTGGAATTTAATATTGCCTGCATTCTGCTCCCCCACCCTCGCAGACATGCACACATACCCTCTCTCTTTCTCGTTCTTTTCCTTGCGTCTTGCTTTGTGCTGCGTCCCGTCTGTTGGGGGAATTCAGGTGAAGGAAGAATACCTACTGTTGCCTCCCTCCCTCACGAAGCAACGTGGCTCCTCTCCACTCAAGCAGAAATACCGTTCCTGGCAACGACACCAACAGCAACGGTGAAGAGTAACGAGAGCAAAAAAGAAAAACCAAAGATGGAGAATGGGTCCGTCCAATTATTCTTAGCCTCGGCAAAGTCTGTGGAACTGAGCGGTGACGAGGGGAGCTCCTCCTCGGAAGACTCTGTGTCTCTCAGCAGCATGCCGATAACAAAGGCCAAGAAGTTCGCCCCGTCAGATGCCGATGAAATCGCATGTGATCTTGAAGAGGAAATACGGCAGAGTAGAAGTAGCGGTGATTGCGATCTCTCACAGCTGCAGTTGCTCACTGTCCCTAATGGCCTCCCACTCGAAACTCTGGTGTCCCTTACCCTCTCCGATAACAAACTCACGGAGCTCCCCAGTCATTTGTTTGAAGGGCAAAACTGCGCATCTCTCGTCAGGTTTGACGCCAACTCCAACAAACTGAAGTCCCTGCCAGTGTCCCTCTTTGCGCTCACTAAACTTGAGGTGCTGCTACTAGATCATAATGAGATTGTGTATATCCCCTACAACGCTGAACAGGGCAGCAGCGGCGTCTTTCTCCCATCCCTCAAGCGTGTGGGGCTCGAGTTTAACAAACTGCAGCGCTTTCCAGTTGAGTTCTTCAGCCGGTGCCCGCTTCTGGAGGATGTCTACCTAGGACAGAACGAGAAGATGCTGGACGTGGCACTCCCGACCGATCAGCTGCGCGCCGCCGCGGTGCTTCACGGTGCCCTGCGCGAAAAGATGGGCACCGCAAGGCAAGTGCTTCTCAAGGTGGACAACAGGCCGCGGTTTCTTCAGCAGATGAAGGACGAGAAGTGGGAAGATGTTTTGCCGTGGCTGAATATTGATCTCCACAAGATTTATCCCGACAAGGTGCTGGGGTTTCTGTACCTCGGCTCCCTGCGCACGGCGCAGACCACAACAGTGTACCACGACCTCAACATACGATACATCCTCACTGTCGCACGGAGGCTGGATGTGAAGGTGGAGCCAGGCATGAAGCATCTCGTGCTGCCTGTCGAAGATCTCCCCGGCGAGGACCTCCGCCCGCTCTTCAGTAAGGCCTTCGACTTCATCGACCAGGCGAGGCAGGAGAAGAAAGGGGTACTTCTTCACTGCTTTGCTGGTCTTTCACGCTCAGTTGCAGTCGCCGCAGCGTATATTATGAGCCGCTACGCCATGTCGCGCGATGAGGCGCTCAATATGATTAAGGAAGCACGTCCAGCAGCACAGCCGAATCCGGGATTCATGGATACGCTGGCGAGGTACGAAGAACAACTTGAAATGGAAAGAGGGGCAGACAGGCTTTTCAGGGCCGCAAGAAATGGATTATAGGCAATAATTCAAAGCATAACGTGGCATTGGGCCGGCGCAAAGTGATGCATATTTTTACCTTCCAGAAAAAGGCTTAACATCGGTACTTCATATATATGCCCAAGGGAAAGTGTGAAACTGTCTCTTATTTGGTCATCGTGTTCCCCTTTTTTTCCCCCCCGCTTCACCTCATTTTTTTTTTGGTTTTTGGTTGCTGTTGTTTGCTTGTTTGTTTGTTTCTGTTTGCTTTTGCACCGCCTGCAACTCAGATAAACCTCTTCATTGGTCGTGTTGGCTTTCCCCGGAGAAATTTGAGGCAAGTAAGCAAACCAATGAAAAGCATCATCCTTCGCGAGGCCGTGCTCTCAACCCTTGTGTGGACGGCTGGCGACTTCATGGCGCAGTTCTACGTGGCGCACCGTGACCCCGCGAAGCGACGCGTAGCAGGAGAGAAACGCGCCGGTGAGAAACTGTCCCCGCAGCAGATGCTGGCGCTGCTGGATATGCCACGGCTGGGACAGGCGGCGGCGTTCGGCCTGCTCTTCTCTCCGCTTGTCGCCGGCTACCACAAGTTCATTGCCCGCGCTGTCGGCATGACTTTACGCAATATGAAGGCGTCCGTCGCCGCGCTCACGGTGCAGCAGTTTTTCTTGACGCCGCTGGCGCTGCTTGCGTACTATAACGCCATCACGGCGGTGCGCGGCGGTTTCGCCGACCCAAGTTTCCTTCGCGCGTATGAGAAGGATACTCGCGCGAAACGCCACTACGACGCCATGTCGGTGGAATGGCGCATTCTGCTGGACGTGATGCCACTCCCGTTCCTTGCGTCGTGGGCCGTCTTTGCGCCGCTCACTCTGCACGCGTACTTCTCCGTGTACCGCTCGCCCGCTGTGCTGCGTGCTCTTTTCCTCCCCCCATGGGCGGCGTACGTGTCGTACACACAGTCGACGCAGCTGCTTTAAAACGGCAAAAACAAGTAGAAATCTGTTTTTTTTTTCTTCCTTTTGTTACTTTTTGTCCAAGTTTTTGTTTTTAGTTTATAGTGTTCTCATCGGCGTACGTGTAGAGAGATATCGGGCCTCGTGATATGAGGTGGGGCGTGATTGGCATTTGCCTAAACCCATAGGAGCATCGACGCGGTCTTGAATTGGCGGTCCTTCTGTAGGATTGTGTTTTGTACCTCCTGCAATGGTGGCTGTCTCGCCTTTCTCTCTCTTTTTTTTTTTTTTTTTTTT